TAAAAATAAATATATAATAATATAATATCAAAATAATATATAGCTAATATCATATAAATAATAATAAATAAATCTAAAACAAAAAATAATATAAATATATATACAATGCTATAATATTATACCAACAAAATAATTATAATATAAAAAAAATCTATATATATTAATCTAACGAAACAAAATATATTTCATTGTGTTTGTTTATTATTAAATAATTGTAAACTTATCTAAAAAATAATAATTTGGATTGGGTTAAATTAAATTGCTCTTGTTATAACAAGGTTAGATAAGTTTTCTAGGGTTCTTTTAATACAAAATTATTAATTTTTACCATATAACATAAATGAAAAAAAATATAACCTAGTCCACAGCATCTAGCCTTTTACGGACGATAGTTAAAATAAAAAAAAAATCGCCTTAATGGAAGATTCAGAAAAATAGGTAAAAATCTTAGGAAAAAAAAAAACGTGTAAAATGATATGTTATGCAGGAAACATAATGTAGCAAATATTATATTGTATTTCCTAATGATGGAAAATGACAACTTTCAAAACAAGAGAAATAACGCCAATGTTGGTACATCTCAAATCACTTTTTCTCTCTTGTCTAGAATATTGCTGTGTGTTCACTGCTCCGTTCAAGGCAGGAGAGGCCACAGTTTTGAAATCTACATAGATTATTTACTGTCACATGTCCTCACAAAAACATTTAAACTAGTGGTAAAGCACATTGGAACGTCCTCTCTGAAGCGATGAAGAGATACCTGATAATATACATCTGGATGATATTGGAAGCCACTTCCCAAATCTATACACTACCATAATTCCCTGGAATGAGAGACATGAGAGGAACTGTAAAATAAATCAGTAAGGAGCAAAGGCTCCAACTGCACAATAAGAGCACTGTGTTAACATCCACTGTCCAAAACAATTCAACCTTCTACCAGTAGATATCAGAAATATTGTCGAAACAAGCAAGAAGGTCTTGAAGAGGAACAAATGATTAACTGCCAGTTTCCAGAAAAGTCAGGATTGTGACAGCTACCCTGCTAACAACAACCTTAGCTAAAAATATATCATATCCGATACGTTTGATAAAAACCAAGACGTGTGTGTAACACCTGGTAACCTCTGAGATTACCCAGCAACAGGCATGTTGAACAGGCACTCCACAAATAAGCTTGGATATTGCCTGTGGCTTGTCACAGGTATTCCAATTAACATTCATGTTTGTTTTTTTTTTTTTTTTTTTTTTTTTAGTTTTATTTTTTTTTTTTTTTTTTTTTTTTTTTTTTTTTTTTTTTTTTTTTTTTTTTATTTTTGTTTTTTTTTTATTTTTTTTTTTTTTTTTTTTTTTTTTTTGTTTTTTTTTTTTTTTTTTTTTTTTTTTTTTTTTTTGTTTTATTTTTTTGATTTCTGACTAACATTACAGTAGTATGCACCATTGTACTTCATGTTAACTGCACTACCATGAGTTATTACCTTCCTTTCCAAACGAATTGAAAAAACATAGAGCCTGCTAACGTTTGAACTCTGGCCGACGGCTGGGCGTTCCTTTTTTCATAAATATGACATTTATCTAAAACCTCAGCACACATGGCGTCTGACTTCCCAGGTTGTATTATTAATAATTCCTTAACCTTGAAATATTACTTTACCAGTTTTGGTAAACCTTATCTAAGATGAACCGCGGGAAAGGGTTATCGTTTCCGGAAACATTAACAGATATGAATGTGTGTATAATGTCGTGCCGAATAGGTAAAATTAGTTAACTAGCAAGAAGTTATTTAAAATTAGATCCTTTCTAAAAAAAAATCTAATACGTTTAAAGATATATTTTTTTCATATATGTTTAATGAGAAAATTAATATTTTTGTACCAAAAGAACCCTTAGAAAACTTCCTACCTTTATTAAGAACAAGCGCAATTTAATTTAGCTTAATCCAACCAAATATATTTTAGATAAGTTTACATTTAATAATAAACAAACACAATGAAATATATATTTTTTTTTGTTAGGCTCAGATTGATTTTTGCGAAATTATTGCATACACAAATTTTCACTAACCTTATTCAGCAAAAAGAGCATAGCTATTTAAGCCAAAATCGTAGTTTACCTATTCGGCACGACCATAAGATGTCGCGGGAGATAGGCGCTCTGTGGTTTAGTCCCTACTGTCTTAAACTTACCATGGTTAATTGTATATTTACAGTGTCATCAATGAGTCTATGTGTCCATTTTTAGGTGTCTGACACACACACACCACAACACACACACACACATCACACACACACACACCAACTGACACACACACACACTACTGCAACTATACTTTTCCCACTTCACAATGTCTCAACTTGTCCACAAAAATCTACTCTGGACAGTACTCTGTATTTAGTTAATATAATGGAGTAAGATCACAATTGAATAGTGTACAAGATTAGGTCCTTGTCCAGTTGATCAAATATATATTTAGTCGACCGTACTAGAATACATTATTTAGGATATTGACAACAGGTAGTACAATCTATATCCAGTCCTCTCCACTAGATAATATTCCAGAGTCCTGGAGTCAAATACAGCTCCTTGGCTTTCTGGTATGTATAGTATTACTTTGTATTTTCTCCCTGACCATCAAAGTGTACTCTAAAACAGTCGAATTAGTAAACAGTACTCGACAGAAACTCTTGCCACTTAAAAGAATGTATTAGTAAGTACTCTTAGTAATCAACCCTGTAGTCAGATTGTCCTCCCTACTTTGTCCTGCCACCATAGTAGTAGTCAATAGTTAGTCCTGTCACCAGATAGTACGATATATTCAGTCTTGTCGGTAATGAGGTATACTTAGATCGTGGCAATTAAGCACTCTTTCTAATTTCCCCTCCGTTAGCATTAGTCCCGGCACTGCAGAGTACTGTCTTTCCCCTCAGTCTCCCGACACTAGTGAACTAAGACACAGGTGCAACTAATGTGGCCATTTTACTGTGGCAATGTTTAGCTTTCCAGGAGCTTGACAACGGCTTGACAAAACTCCAAAACTAAAATAGTAGCTGCATCTATGTAGTTGTACCTAGCATATAGTGACGTGTTAGACTGCTGGTACTGCCAACAAATAGGGTACAAATTGCAGACTTGTATAGGAAAAAAAGGATACCTTGGTGCCGAGGGAAACTCTTAATAAGACAAACTTTAGCTGGGAATAGTTTTTCCCTCCAGTAAGATCGTATGATGTTGATAAGCTCTCCCCTACCAAACATAAGAAAGGAAGAACACGTGCGACAGGCTGTGGCCCATACTTATGCAGGTCTTTACAATTCATCCCACTAACAAACATTTGTGTCCAACCAATTTTCAATGCCACCCAAGATACACGCTCCGATGTGCAGTCCACTCAAATCCAACCTCTCCCACTCATGTACTTCCTAGTAGACCTTCCCAACATACATCGACCTTCAAGTCTAGCTGGTTATTAAACGTGTTTTTAAAAGCTCTGTTTTATTCATCTCGCGCCATTTATCTACTGTGTTTTCCCTTTCTGTCAACAGGAAGTTTCTATCTTAATTATACAGCTTGCGTTTCCTCTTTGCAATTTTTGCCTTAGCGCTTTCCACCTCCTTCGCTTTTCACCCCCGTTTTTGCCCTAATGTTTCTTTTTTATACCTCTTCTACCCGAGTATCTGATTTATTTAATTGACTTACTCACGTTAGAAAGTGAATCTCACCCAATCTCTGTCTCTCTGTCTGTCAGTCGTGACTCTTGTAAGCTCACCATGAAATGTGCGAAGCCTGTGTTACAGCAGGCATGCCTCTGAAAGTTATAGGCTGCAGCGCGGCGCGTGGGCGTGGGTTTAGCGTCGCTGTATGGGTGGAAACGCAGCGGCACTCATTGCCGTAGCCGAGCCATGGCCCGTGTCCAGCCCGTGTAGAGACATCAGCTGTTCCGAGGACTGGGGGTTGGGCCGTACCAGTCAGGCCATCTTGGATAAAGGAGGCGAGGGCACTTATCCCACAGTTTTTTTTCAGCATGATGATGGCCGTATTTATTTGTTCCCCTCCTGCGAAAAGGGTACACACTCTGTTGGTTTTGTTTCCTTTTTTTCTTATATTATTATTGTTTTCTTAACTGCAGTAGTAATGGATTTCGAAAGTTTTGGGGCAAACACTTTCATTTTTGTTATTGTTTTAGACTTTGTAATTATTTATTCTTGGTTACGCAACGATGGCTTGTCACAAGCGATATCACACAGAGGCAAAAGATGACAGCTTTTCTATAGCCCCACACACACACACACACACACACACACACGCACACACTCAGGTGTGAGGGTTTGCGCCAAAGACACACACACACACTTCCACAACGTATCGCTTTTCCTTCGGCAAGCAGAAAGCAGGCGTGGAGGCGCGGCGCACAAACCCCTCGACACACACAGACACACACACCACACACACACAGAGTGACCACAAGTACACGCACAGACAACACACCAATCTGCTGTGGCTGCACTTGCCCCCATAACACTGTCTGTTGGACAGTGGTTTTAAAACCTGACACAATCGACCCAGTACATACAGCGACAGTGAATATACACACGCAAGAGCAGCAACAGGTCCAATGAATCACCAGCAAAAACCAAGATATTCAAGTCGAACTTGAGCGACCAGGTTAATCGCTAGCGGCGAGTGGACTTCCGTTTGAGCGTGTGTGCGTGTGGCAGTCCAGCAGCAGAGGAGTGAACACATACATACACCTTCCAGGTGTCGTAGATATGTCACAAGCACTCAAGCTCTTACCAAGGCAGATTCTGGCCACTGACCTTCGGGAACTTCTCCTTGCTGAAGTCCACTTCTTCTGCCTAGCTACCAGAGGACCTCGTCTGGACCACTTTGCACAGCGTTCCTACTATGGCAATTTTAAGTTCACCTATGGGATTTCCAAGTTTAAGTTTACCACCAAGTTCAAGTCATCCCCACTTTATTTCGTGCGATGTAACCGTTCACTCCACGTCACACCTTAACAAGTGGTAATCACAACACACTAGTATAAACAGTACGAGGGAAAATACATTAATGTTGAGGCAGTGGGAGATCTGGGCTGGCTGGTCCACAGGTGGGGCTGGCTGATTTACAGGTGTGGCTGTCTGGTTCACAGGTGGGGTTTGCTGTCCACAAGTGGGGCTGGCTGGTCCACAGTTGTGCTGCTGGTCCACAGGTGGGTCTGACTGGGGGTTTTTTCCCACAGTGGTCTTGCTGGTCCACAGGTTGGGCTGGCTGGTCCAACAGGTTGGCCTGGCTTGTCACAGGTGGGGCTGGCTGGTCCACAGGTGGGGCTGGCTGGTCCACAGGTGGGGCTGGCTGGTCCACAGGTGGGGCTGGCTGGTCCACAGGTGGGGCTGGCTGGTCCACAGGTGTGGCAGGCTGGTCCACAGGTGGGGGGGCTGGCAGGTCCACAGGTGGGCTGGCTGGTCCACAGGTGGAGCAGGCCACGGCGATAGACACCTCAGAGAGCAGCGGGAGCCACCAGGTCACGATCAAGACACAGATCAAGTCACGACACCAGCCAGGCGGCTAGGTCAACCGCTAGCGAGTCCCGGATAGGTCAACCTAACAACCGGTTGAGGGCGGCCAGATGTGGGCGGCCATGAGCACAAGGTTCACCGCGGCATCACCACGTCACCACAACACGTGAGGTATACGGAGGCGTGTGTTGGGCGTGCCGGGTCATGTGGCGTGCGTGATGCTCGTCACTGTCATTCCAGGATGTCGCGGCGGTATTCCAGGCGTGTTTAGGACGTGAGGTGCGGTGTCCACGTGTGGACTGACAAGCAGTGCGCCAGTTTGGCACTGGGTGGGGCGGGGTTTATCTGACGAAGGGGCCACGGCAGCAGCTCTGGTTGCGGTTGTGGGTGTCGCGGTCGCCACACCTGACTCTTATACGAGAGGGGCGGCAGGGAGACATGAATGGGCCTTGACAGTGTGTTGAACCCGAGACACGACTGCAAAATGAGTGAGGATTGAGCGAGGGGCAGTACGTGGGGAGGGGCTGGGGGCAGGACGTAGGGCGGAAGCTTGGGTGGGGCGGGCTCTGGCTATCCAATCAATGCGCCATGATCCGTGGGGGAAGGGGCCTCGCCCCCGTCGCCGCCAATCAGCGAGCGTCCCATTCCCTGAGGTCCAGCCCAATACACAACACCTACGACGCTTCCACACTCACGTATTTATTACCTTTTATCATTCTAATCTCCCTTTATCCCACATTCAGCAGCCCGTGGCAGACAATAAGACATGTAAGTATATCGGAGTGGTGGAGAAAGAGAGTAGCGTGTGGGTGGAGTGGGGCGGAGCGTGGTTGTGGGTGGGGCGGGGCCAGGGGCTTCACTCACCACCACCACCACCGCGCGCACCACCGTCACTATAATCGCCGCCTCACACACCATAACGGGCTTTAACTACTGCCGGTAACACCACCATAGATTCCACTTGTCTCGCTTTAACATCACCATAAGCTCACTTCTTGTCCTCACTCACAACACAACACTCAACTTCCTACCACAGGTCCTGTTGTGAGGTCCTCGAGAACCTTGCAAACAACGCTGGCTGGACTTGCTACCCGCAGGGACCACGGTTCGACTCACCGTCCATTCTTATTTCTTCTTAGGTGACATTTAAAACCTGTCTCGTCTATGGGGTAATACGAGCGTTACCAACACTTTTTAAGTCGTTATTATCAATGGATTTCCGTTATTCACTTATATTAAGTTGTCTGAAGCGTTGTATAATTTAAGCTGTGCCCCTTGTATTATTAAATACAAGAAAATATATTCACTGTCTTCTCAAATTCCTCTGGGAAGATTCTGATTCACACCCCTTATAAATATTGAATGCCAATAAATTAATGAATAAAATATGTGTAATACAGTTTTTATTGACTAAATGTTTCGACTGTGATGTAGACTATCAGCCTAGCAGAGGGAGGATTTGCAAGTCTGGAGACAGCAGATGAAACAGAAAGGTAATCTGAGATAATCAGTCCCTCAGCCTTGATGGAAGATTTTGATTCGTCTACATATATTCGACTGATGAAGCTCCAGCACAGGCGAAATGTTTCGTCAGGAAAGATGCAAAGAAAATGATAGGATGGATAATGAGAACTTTCAAAACGAGAGATGCCAAGCCCATGATGATCCTTTTCAAATCACTTGTTCTCTCTAGGCTGGAATACTGCTGTACATTAACATCTCCATACAAAGCAGGTGAAATCGCAGATCTAGAGAGTGTACAGAGATCCTTTACTGCACGTATAAGTTCTGCCAAGGCACCCTTAATTACTGGGGAACGGCCACCCTTTTTTTGAAGCACTTGACTATGTACTCGTTGGAACGCAGAGGAGAGATATATCATAATCTACACTTGGAAAATCTTGGAAGGAATGGTCCCAAATCTGCACACAGAAATCACTCCCTACGAAAGTAAAAGAATGGGCAAGCGATGCAAAATGCCCCAATAAAGAGTAGGGTCGCCATTGGTCCACTAAGAGAAAACACATAAGTGTCCGGGCCCAAAACGGGTTTCAACAGCCTCCCCAAGCAAGCATTTGGGGAATTGCCAATAAACCCCTGCTGCCTTCAAGAGCGAGCTGGACAGAATACCTAAATTCGGTGCCGGGATCAGCCGGGCTGTGCTCGTACGATCGGACTGGGGCGGCGTGCCCACAGATAACAGCCTAGTTAACCAGGCCCTTATCCAATCGGGAGGCCTGGTCATGGACCGGGCCGCGGGGGCGTTAGAACCCCGGAATAACCGCCAGTTAACACCCAGGTGGTGTTGGCACTTGTGGTTTTATACATGCACACACATCAACCCCCCCCTACCCAACATAAACCATTTCATCACCTCAACCCTTTTGCACTCATCCTTAACCCTTTCAATTTATCAACGTCCCCTCTTTCACACCCACACGAACCTTCCATTTTTTTCCACCAACCCAACCCCTAACACCTTTCACCCTTAATAATGCTCTATGTCATCACCATCTCTAATCCCCTCTCTTTCCAGCATCCCCCAAATCGTTTCAACAGCTAGTCTTTCCCCAAACTTTTACCCACACCAGCCCCATTCTCTCCACCCTATTCCAACCCAACATTATTAACCCAACTAAACCTTAACTAGTTCACAACCTACCAACCCTTAACCCTTCTCCCCACTAACCCCACTTCCCTATACTCTTCACCCTTGCTCATATTTTTCCCCCACACCAAACTCTTTGCCAAAAATAACTTCCTCCAACCCCTAAATATATTTTCCTCAAACCCAAAAAAAAAAAAGTTTTGTTTACAAGCCCAAGCAATTTGGCCCGAACTGTTTACCAATCTCAACCTCCTGCTCTTCAACCTCATCCACCTCTCTCCACTTCAAAATACCGCTTTCCAACTATGTTGCAGCTCACGAGTCATACCGTCCACTGGAAAGGAATGCAAGAGGTGTGACGAGACATTTATGCAGACAGAAGGGGCAGATCCAATGGCAGTGATAGAAACCAGTCAGACGACCGGAGAGACTTAATAAACTGTAGAGAACTGACTAAATTCTGAGTGTTTCCTTTTCATCTAGTTTTTAAGTGTGTAAAGTGTTTTTATATCGGCAAGTGAATGTAGGGGAACTCGCCCACCCCCACCTCCATGGTATGACAATGTATGCCCCCCCCCTGTCTCCGGTACTTTAGACGTTGTAAACCTTAAGTTAAACCACAAGAAACAAAGTCAGTACCTAAACCTATTATTTCCTGGTTCTAACCCTTTTTACCTCCCTACTTTTCTCCCATTTTTTTTTGTAAACCCCAGTTACTTCAATGCTAACCCCTAACTTACTTATATCTACTTCCAGCCACTTTCAAGGGACCCTCCAATTCTTTTACCCCCCGCCCCCCTTATTAAAACCCTATCTCTAACCCCTATCTCTAACTAACACCCTTTACCTCCTACTGACAACTTCCAACAACACATCATCCCCTCTTTGGCACCCTGTAAAAGCCCACCAGTCTCCCTCACCTTCTCCACGGTCACTACCAATACCCACCTAACCCACCTAACTCGCACATTGTTCTACTTGATTTGCAAGCAAAAAAATAGTACGTGGGAATTAACGCTAATCGGTGTGAACTTGGTGTTGGGGCATCAAAAAGGTCGGTTTGACTGCCAGCGTCACGGTAGACGGAGGACCTAACTAATTAATTAACTGCTTATTACCTGGAATACAGTCGCATCATATAAACACAAGCTTAAACAAACACAAACTTACACAAGCTTAAACAAACATAAGCTTAAACAAACACAAGCTTAAACAAAAAGTCATTTAAATTATATGTTATTTTGCACGCGCGCGCACACACACACACACACATCAGTGAAGAGGCGGGGCCAGGAGCTATGACTCGACCCCTGCAACCACAAATAGGTGAGTATAAATAAGTGAGTACACACACACACAAACGAGTATGCACAAATATGGAGGGAGGCCCAGCGACAGTACGAAAACGACATAGGATCGAAAGTCAAGTCTGACTCGAAACTGCTGTAGAGCCACATTAGGAGGAAGACAAGTCAAAGAGCAGGTGATCAGGCTGAGGAAAGAAGGTGGGGAACTCCCAAGAAACGATCAAGAGGTATGCGAGGAGCTCAACAAATATTTACAGAGGAAACAGGAAGGACTCTGGAGAAGACCGAGAACATGATGTGGACACCAACAAGGAATGTACCAAACAATGTGGGATGCAAAAACACAACTGAGAGGATGGTGAAGAAGCTGCTAAGTGACCTGATACGCTCAAAGGCAATAGGAACGGACACTCCCCGTGGCTTAGAGAGGGAGCAAAGAAAACGCGTGTTGCCACTAACAACAATCTTCAACACATCCCTTGAACCTGGGCAACTACTTGGAGTTATAGAAGGACGGCATAGTTCCTTTCCCATTTTTTTTTTAATAGGATACAGATAGAGGGTACTAATCTATAATAGACTAGCGTCACTTGACGTGTATAGTATTCAAATCATGGAGAAGATAATCATGAGGAGAGTGGTGGAGCACCTGGAACGGAACAAGAATATAAGCGACAACCAGCACGGATTCATGGAAGGCAAATCCTGTGTCACAAATCTTCTGGAGTTTTATGATAAAGTAACAGAAGACACGAGAGAAAGGAGTGGGTTGATTGCATTTTCTTGGACTGCAAGAAGGCCTTCGACACAGTTCCTCACAAGAGATTAGTGCAGAAGCTAGAGGATCAGGCATGTATAGCAAGAATGGCACTGCAATGGATCAGAGAATGCCTGACAGGGAGGCAACAACGAGTCATGGTACGTGATAGGTATCACAGTGGGCACCTGTGACGAGCGGGGTCCCACAGGGGTCGGTCCTAGGACCAGTGCTATTTTTGGTATATGCGAATGACATGAGGGAAGGGATAGACTCAGAAGTGTCCCTGTTCGCAGATGATGTGAAGTTAATGAGGAGAATTAAATCAGGCGAGGATCAGGCAGGGCTTCA